GTGTGTTTGTGTAGTGTGTACCTACCTATTGTAGTAGATAATACGTCGTAGCAAACAGTTTAAGTCTCTACAAATAATATTATCTAAATTACAACAAAATAACATTAATCGTTATTTTTGGTTTAAATATCTAATTTTATGGAAATTTGAATTTTAAATGTTCTTATAAAAATGGTGTACGTGTAATTTTAAGATTTTTTGGGTGCTGCCAGAAAAGCTTATGAGAAATGTATAAATTTTTCACATTTTTATTACTTCGGTATTAAAATTGAAATTATTATGATACATTTTAACAACAAAGTAATTTACAAATTTTTAAAATGATGTTATCAAAAATTGAAATTTAATCTCTCAATAAAATGGCGTAAAGACCTAAATGCGGAGTTGATAATATTAAATATGTTTTCGATACTGCGATCACTTATGGGTTGTTACCTCTGCTGTTATATTACGATATGCATTACGATATCTAAAAATATGAATCGATATCGAAAATAGCCGAAAATCGTTTTCGATATCGATATCAACTATATAAATTCAAACAAGCCAATTGATAGCTCGAAAAAAAAATCGCCTTGGATGTTATTTTTACTATAATTTGCTATGAATACGTATAGATGCATAATAGAAAAATGTGATAATAGCTATTATACCTAAATAATCAAAAGCTTATAATAAAATAAAATCACCGAGTTACTGTCTACTGATTTCATTTAAACACAAAAATAATAATCTCTAGCACAGTTTTCAACTCATTTATAATTAGTCAGAATATTGGTAACTTTAGTTGTGAATAATAGTTTATAGTTAATAACCATATTATTTTAGACATATTAAATTATATGGTTACTAACTATAAATTGCTAGGTACAACAATTAATGTATTATTTATTTTATTATAATAATACGATAAAATTGAAATATTTTTTACAGTTTCAAATATTAATCTTTATTGATCAATATTGTATACGATTCAATTCACATCTAACATTCAATAGAACCAGTAAAGTTTCGTATTAATCAAGTTGTTTTTACAGTTGTGTTTTTAACATAAATATTTTTTTGGACTCAAGTTTTTTTTCTGACCGATTTTTCATAAGGTTTTCGTTGTTATGATTACTTATTAACAAAAACATATTTATGATTCATAGGTTTCCTTGGAGATGAAAAATATCAAAACTTGTTTTTATTATTTTTTTAATATATTTCAATGAACAATTTTTCTGGTAAAAGAGGGACGATAAAAAATGCATGTAACCCTTTTGATAATCTTAAATCAGGTGTGTGTGTGTGTGTTACTTTTAAGATATAATTTTTCAAGTTCTTCGACGGTTTCTGTATAATAGCATACGAAAAAACTACCACCGACGAAAATATTGTCGACAAAAATGTCCACCAGCGTGACATTAACCTTAACGCGAGCTGAGAATCCTTGTTCCAGGATCGATAATTATTATTGAGCTTAAAATCAACATCACGAACCACCCTTCTACTGAGAGATCGAAGTGGGATCGCGTTGACACCCGTGGCCACAGTTGTAGTTTCCGCTCAGATTCGTATCCACGATTCGTCTTACGCCATGAACAATGTACATAATATTTATATAATGTTATTATACCTACCCCCAAGTCAGTGTACTACCATATAGCACTTGCACGGCCCGTATTATTGTCTTCGTCGAGTTTATACGTACATCACGTCTTATTATAATATATGGTGAACATCCCGCAGACTAATGCTTTAATTCTTCCGAATAAACCTCGTAAACGTTAATCTCGCCCATTGTTGTACCACGCTGTTTACGTATGCGACTATATTCCATGCCGTATTGCGTTTATTGTCTATAATCGTGAACAAATCCATTAAAGCTTGTTGAGCCACGTATTTCTTGTTTTAAAGACCTTTGTTAGTTTATCAATATAAACAAAAAGAGAAGCAGTGATTCCGGTAATGAGCACTCGTCTCACTCGAGATTTAATACAGCGGAATTACATTTTAAGGGTTATCTTAGCCGGATGGCGGCGAAAACACGAAAACGTTTTGTGTTTGATCAAAACTTAATTGTTGTTCACGGTTTTCTTCAAAACACAACAATGGGAATTTTCTATCCTCGGTGAATCCTAAATATTAACTACAAGTCTACGAGTTACGACTAAGTCTTGGCACATTATATTAGGTGTATAGAAATGCGTAGAATATGTTAATTTAGATCTCGTGAAGTATATTTTTAACTGAACGCAAAAATCAAACCATTTATAAACGAGCCATTACACTAAAAATAGTACAAAAAACAGTACAAAGATTTTGAAGTAATCCACAAATATTATAAGTACCTACATACGCATGGTGTGCTAATTTAAATTCACCGAACATTGATATAGTTTTATAAAATGAAAAACATCCGTTCTATATTAATTTACACTATCGGAAAAAAAGGTCAACGGGTTCTTAGATGTCCATCATGTCATAACACAAAATTACTGTGGTGACATTTTCCTCTATCTATCTTCCGCATCGGTTACGCGACCGAAATCTCTCTATATTCAAGCAAAGAACCCGCCTAACCCTTCCTCCTATATTTGCAATCAACACTCTTTCCACGTATACCTATGCTGGCATTTTTTTTTCTATCGCCTTTAACCATCTCCCTCTGAGCTACGCGGTTTCTTAAAAGAGAAATCGATAGTTTCCATTTATACCTCATTACGCCGCATTTGGTTGACTAATATAATGTTATATAATATTTACGATTTTTACCAACCATTAAATTGCAGTTGACTCTCGGGATAACTCAAAGTTCGATGTAAAAAAAAATTTAATTCGAGTTATTAAGCATTTCTGGGTATCAATAGAACCCGCAATATTTAGTTCTATAATATGGCGTCTAAAGGAGAATTATATTTTCGAGATTTTCAGGTTCCAGACTCCGTGAATCGACCGCATATATAAGCGTAATGATATTATTATAGTTCCAAACACATATTTTTATTTAATACCACCCAGCTCGGTAATAATAATAATAACAGTGGCGCGTATTATTATACCTATATACCATCTACAATACCCAAGCGTTTATCGTCGGAGAGCTTTTTATATTAATGTTTGGGGAATTTCGGCCATAAAACCCGAGGGGAAAAAATTCACCCAATTAAAAGTCGAAACAATAAATTATGCGAAGCGATATAGCTAACGCACAAACGTATCTATATATGATACACATATCTAATATTATGTCTGTAGACGAAGGTTGTGCCATATTTTTTGGGTACAATATTATAATGTAGATACTTACCTGGCTTGGAGGTCAACCGTGATCAAAAAAATAAATAAATTATAATGTAGCTGTTATGATCGCGAGACGGTTAACTTACGATTGTGTCTGATTTTTCGTCCACCGTTTACTAAGTCTAAGTCCGTTGCAGTAAAATATCGCAAATCTCTATGACATATATCGTGTATCATATTATTAATGTTTCGATTTTCGATACGCAGACTTTTAATTTTAAATGACCACCCGACGTTTGAACGAAATGTGTGGGCACTAGAAACAGACTTAGAAAATATAATGATAAAAAAAAAAAACATTTTCAAACTTCACCAGACGAAAAAAAAGCTTACAGTACCAAACGTAATAAATCAAGCGACCTATCCACGGAATGCCGTCTCAGACGTCACCGCACACATGGCATTTCAAAATAGGAACAATTTCATTAATTTTTTAATGTGTATTTACGCACACAACAGTTTATAGTTAGGTATATACTTATTTATAATTTTGTTTTTAATTAGCTCCCAAAGTACCTTTCAGGCTTGCCAAAAGTGTCATCATTCACATATTATTTTTAATCGTTCCGCCACTTTGTTTTCCAGTTACAAAATATGTTTAAAAAAATTCATCATCTGGCAAGGTGTTTTACCTCCGACTTATTAATGAAAATATACACACCGATGGATAACAGAAATAATTAATCATTCTACAGTGGTTTGAAAGGAAAAACGGAAATAACACAATTCAAATTGAACAATGTTTCAGAGATAATGACACATTCGTTAGGTTCAAAATAGTGGACAACAAACAAATAACAGCTGTTTGAAAATAGTTGATTTTGTTCCTTAAATTGTAAAATAAATACCAAATATAATTAAAAACGAATGGGTTGTCATTTTCTCAAAAATAATATTCTCTCTCGATTTTATAATAGTTGTAGAATCAGCAGTAGCCGATCTGTGTCAACTTAATAATAGATAAAATTTATTTTGAATTTTCTATATTCAAAATGTCGGTATCACGAAACCACATGTGAAATACTCAAATATATGGTGAATTTATATTTAAATATATTTGAATTTTTCCCAAAGTTTTATTAAAGTCGCTATCTATATATATTCGATATTAAGCCTCTTCAACAAACTTCGGTGAAAAGTGTCCAAACGAAACGCTATATAACCTCAATAGGATGTCATCACGTACCTACTGCTATAACCTAAATTTTTTTTTAAACCATCTCTAATTTTTATTTTATTTTTTTCGCTCCGTCGTGATTAGGCCAACTACGATTTTCTTCTACGGCGGCGGTCGCCTTGTCCGCCTCGGTCAAATTCACCCGAGACCCCGTCACGGCGCGCAACCCCGTGTAGCCGCTAACCCACACGCCGACACGCTTACACGTACCTATATATACAAAAAGCCACTCACACGCCGACACACTCACGCTCTCCTACATGCCGCACACACGCCGACACACACCTGCACTCCCCTACAAGCCACACGAGTCGACACACTTACACGCACCTACAAGCCAGACACGCCAACACACTTTCACACGCACGCACACACACACACGCACACACACCTGCACTCACCTATATACTTGCACACCCGCACACACACGCACACCCGCACACACACACGCACACACGTGAGCGGGCGAGAGGAAATGCGCGCGCGCGCGCGGACGAATACGCCGCCGGCGACTCGGAAACGGTTTCCATGCGGCGACTGCGGCGCTGCTCATTGCTCCTGTTCCCGCGAATCGCTCTCTCACCGCGACGTTTCGCGGCGAACATTCCGCACGGACTCTGTTGCATGCGGTCTCGGAGAAGAGTCATTTTCACCCGCCGCCACCACCGCCGCAGTCGAGCGTCCCCGCAATCGCAAAAAGTTTTTTTTTTTTTTTTTAGTATTTTTCGTTTATCTTTGTTTTAACATCTCTAACGGTTTTTTAAAAATAATTTTTATTTTCGAGCATTTTGTCGTTTTCCGACGATCCTCCCCCACACGTCCCTTGCCCCGACGGCTTTAGGATGTTTCGTTCTTTTTATACTACATAGACACGACATCCGTCGTCTCTCGTCTCCGCGGGGATCGGTTCAGATTTGCACTACAATTTTCGGGTAAGTCCATTATATATATATATATACCTACACACACACACCTCAAGGTATTTCATTTTATTCTTCCAAACGACTTTAACCATTACCGTTCACAGGTACACATAATATAGGGATATTTATACGATTTTGACACCGAGTAGATTGTTATTATGTACACGTCACCTGCAGGAGGCAGGTACGATAATGTCTACAATTATTGACGTACAGTAAACCCATTATTATCTCGTCATGTCAAAACAAACAAAATCAATCGGTATGTTAAACACATAGGTAATTCTCCTTCTACTGTTGCTATTTTGCGTGCACAGACAAGGCGAGACTTTGTATAATATTATAGCTAATAGTCGATTGAGTACTAATATAACTATAAAATATATAACTAATGAAAACATAATTATGCTTATACCCATGTTAACTATAAAGACAGTAATTATATAGTACTACTACTACCCGTTGGCATAATTGATGTTTAATCGAGTTAGAAACATATAAATGTAGTATTTTATTCAATATAAATCTGATAAGTATTCTTTTGAATTAAGTGATTGGTTTATCGTGATCAGTAAGATGAAATTATTACATATAGTTATTCAAACACGAAATATTTTCAACTATTTTTTTTCTCATAAACTATAAAATTAGAATTTTCCAAATAAGACTTGGATATTAAATGTCTTAAACTGAATTGGACATTTTTAAATAATCATAAAAAATTATACGATTTCGTATACGATATTTAAACTATTTTTATGTCTACCTATTGGATATGTATTCTTCTACAAATAACTATATACATTATACTGAATAGTGAACTATATCTAATTAGCAACTCACGAGATGAGCAGTCAGTTTTATAATATCTTACTAAATAAAGATGTAGATATATGTATTGGTTTTGAAAATATTAAATAATATTAAAAAAGCTCCTTAAACCTATCAATCATATAGGATTTTGATCTCTTTTAATTTTATTTATATATTAGATTTTTAACGTCAAAATACCCATCATAAATTGAAGTGTGTGTGTGTGTGTGTGTGTACGTGCTCAATGGCGAAGAAAATTTAAATTTTTAAATAGTAATCATTTTCAAGTAGATTATACATATTATGTGTAGTATTCAATTTATTCTAACTAAGGGATGTAAAATTGTTAAATATTGTTTTTTACGGTTACATATTCCCCGAAAACTATTTTTTTTTTTTTAATTCAACCACTACTTCGATTTTTATTACATTAAAATAAAACCTCCATAATACAACTCATAATAGCATTAATTTTGTTAAAGTTACAATTATTCCATCTTAATTAGGTTTGAATTTAACACAATCCTATTAATCTAACTGCACTTAGATCACCGTACTTAGTGAGTACTCAAGATCGACGAGAAAAATTATTATGCTGATTGACTTTTTTTAATAAACTATTGAAAATGTACAATTTGTATTTTTCTTCAATGTAATTAAATATAAAATTCAAATAGTCAATATACAATAAACAATTTGTATTGTTGTTTTTTTAATCGATCTAAGAAATTGCAATGATTCAAGGCAAATCAAAAAAAAATCTGTATGATTGTTAAATCTACTAGGTGTTTACATAACTTATAATTCATGATGTTTTGATTTTTACTCAACAGTTTATTTGTGAAAAAAAATTATTTATATTTCATACGATAATAATACATCAAATTATCGTGAATTAAACAACATCATACTGATTTATTGATTGATTTATTGATATGAAACGGAACAAGCCCAATACAAATATTAATATCAATTTTAAAATGTAACAGTAAAAAATACAAATTAAAATATAAGACATGATGAACATTACATAAATAACTGATTTAGTCCCAGTTACAAAACATACAAAATATAAATAAATTATTGGGAAATTAATACATTTAATACCTACGTATACGAACGTAAGATACATTATTACCAACGAATTATTGTGATTTGTGAATGCCTAAAAAATATTTGTTCATTATTGTAACACGGCGTGATGAATAGGCAAAATAGCTACATGTTAGGTTGAATTCAATGTTATTATTTTTATAACTATTGAATTCATCCTAATTATTTTCATTTTATATATTATTATTTTCATATACCACGTTAATATAATATTTTCTTAATTTGTGTACATGCATTAATTTTTTTTTAATCGTACAAATAAATGATGAATTATTTTAAATTAAGAAATACATATTATTAGTATATTGTACAAATCTAAGCATATCTGACATAATATTTAACTGCACACAAAATATCAATAAAGTTTAAGGATGAAATAATTTTAAATAGAAAAAAATGTCTATGAAATGTTTTAATGTAAAATAATTTAAGTTATTGATTTAATCAAAATATGTATATTTAAAGGTAATCAAAGAATTCCCTCGATTTTCATAAAATGTAAAATACACCGATCAAAAAACGTAATATACTCGAACTAGAAGTTCCAAGAAAAAAAACCATAGGTATAACTTTTTATTTTATGGGTTTCAATTTTTTTTCTCATTTATATATTTTGAGATTTTACGCTGAACGTAATATATATATACTATATACATATAATTTGACGTCTTGAACTTGTTATACCGTGCAACCTTTAGGTTTCAGGGTTTTATTACTTTTCAGTAAAAAAAAACAAAATGTATATAAAAAACAAAAAACAAAATCAAAATCAGTGAAAAAAACTTATACATTTTTAGTTGTGCGTTTCGTGAAAACCGAATGTATAATATTATAAAATAAACTTTTTAATCCTTCCGAACGTAAAATGTCCGCGCGTTTTTAATTAAGTGTCCGTCGTATAAAAATAAAAAAAACCCATCCCTTTTTCAGCATAATATAGAATTCGACGATGTACTGCGCTCTGCTTGCGATATGCACACACACGCGCGCGCAGCTCACTACAAATACATAATATAAACATAATATATTGAACGTAGTCGTTGGTGGCTGCGTCCGATTATACTATGCCATACATACGTTATTTACGGGAGCCCCATCACGTTCACCTCGGTAACCAACTCTCTGCTAACACATACCACACACCACCATACCGCCGCCGACCGTGACGCACGTCTATATCGTCGATGTGTATACGCGCACGTACATTATTTTGCGGGAAAAACTTTGTGGTTCGGATTACTGCGTATAATAAAGTGTCGTCGTCGGTCCAATCACGATGACACGTCTTCGACCATAATATAATTGTTAATTTATTTGTCATACACTACAGCTGCAGTCTAACAAGTATATTATACAGACCGCGGTTATATTCTAGACTTTTCCAGAGTGACGACGACGGGGCGACCCATCGTTCGAATAAGATTTTTTATTTTTTTTTTTTTTTTCGGTGACATCTAAAATTATTTCTCTTGTACACACGGCGTACGGGTGACCTCGCGATCCTCATTAATCCTCGACTCACGACTTCAGACCCTTGACCTCCGAGGGCTCGCCAGCCCCGAGTTCTGAATCAGTTATAAGTAAGCGACTTGGCCACCAAACGATTGAGCACGATCGTGTACGTTTTAAATGAACTATATACCCTCGTAATACGTATTACATGGGGAGCGATCCGTGTACTGTAAGACACTTCTTAATTCATTAAACACAAACGTATAGTATTTCTTGCACAGTGTATTAAGTCGTTACAACACAACATTGAATGATATTTTTTTAATATTTCTTATCGTTAGCGTTTTCTAAGTTATTTACTTTTTTGGACAAGAAGTTGACGATAAAAGTATAATTTTTTTAGAAAAAGTTTTTAACGACTTAACATTATGAAAAAAAAAATACTTTCAAAAGCGTTAATAGTTTTTGAAATAACGAGTGTCCTACGTTAAAAAGGTCACGCGATGTATGTATATCAAAGAACTGAGCTGTGCCTACACGTATTATAACTACATTCGGTAAACAATACCGATTGAACACGATCTCATGTGCAGTTATACAAAGCTATTGTGATTACATTTCAATGACATTATATTATAACAGTGTGTTATACAGAGTGATTCACACAACATGCTCCACTTTTCTCTTCAATTATTCATTTATTTAATACTTCTTTTTCAGTACCTACAAGTACGGCTCAAGTACCATCACATTTTCAGTTATTTCATTGTTTTTCGCTATTATATTATCGGGCGGTGACTAAAACTATTTCTCAAATGAGAATCAATTTATTTTAACAGATAATCATAAATCATACCATATTTTTGAAAAACTGTATTTTTTTCTATGTTCCAATAATTTGAACGAGTTTCATCTGTTGTACTAGGTATTTGGATAGTTTATAGTCCTGAATACTGGTAATAAGCTTAGTAAATAATATGATAGCTATCGTGGTTATAAAATGTTATAATATAATATTTTAGACAATTTTTTTTAATAGTCTGGTAATTTAAAAAAATTGTAAAATGCTTATAAATGAATATTGATAACTAGATATTTAAGTTATAATAATAGCCCTTATATCTTTCAAAAAATACTATCATGAAATATTATTATTATTAGTATGTAATGGCTATGAAACGACCTAATAATTTACTCTAAATCAGGGTCGAGATTCTAATAACTTGAAAAATAAGTTTGTAAAAATACCCCTTCAAAATACTCTTCGCATAAATGGCTTAATAATAAAAAATCTCAAGTACTTAGGTATTATATATAATGAAAAATGCCAAAAATTAGAATATGAAAAAAACGCATAATTAAAGAATACAATGCGGTGAGCATTATTGGTAAATCGTTCTATATTTTCTGGTTTAATTTTTTTTTATGGCACCGCACCATTTAGCAGCAGATATTGGTTGTGCTCGATCGCTGCTCTGGCTCGGTGAATTTAAATAAATAAAATAAAATACCCGTTGACCTGTTATGAAAACGCATACTAGCCGGTAGGTAGGCAAATGAACAAACAAAAGGCAATTTTTATTGGGAATTTTTTTTTTTTTTTTGACTTGTCTACGGCGATTGGACAGAGC